CAGATGTAAAAGAGGCAGACAGACACAAAGGTAGAGAAAAAGGTGAGGTGAGTACTGTGAAGGTAGTCGAATATGATATACAGTGGGGTCATAGTAGTTTGAAGTGAGAAGTCAACTGCAGATTAATAGACATTTTTGCCGTATGAACATACGTTGCTCAGGGGGCACCACGTGGAGGTAAGTCTATCACACACTCCTGAGCCTGCGGAGACTCTCGTGCCCTGGTTCACTCAACGCCAACAGTGCGCCACTGCCCGTAGGCAAGTAGGCACCACCACTGACATTAATAACAATCCGTGGACGTAATCGCAGCCGCCGCATCATTATTCGCCTATGCACACATCCTTCCAGGACGCCGGGTATAGTAGGAGAGAGGAAAAACGTCAACCTTTCATAATTCTCGATAGGTACCTCATCAGTCTCTGATTTAACGTGATGTGGGTAGAGGTGAATGACAGAGACAATCAATATTTACTGAAACGAAATCTACTCCATATAGAAACGTCTAGTCGTGAGAGATCATTCACGCCTTATCGACTAAATCTCCTTGTTATTTGGGTGTCATGTTCATGTGGGAAGCTGGGATGAATTTGACCGCCTTTAATCAGATCGGATAGCAGAATTCAGTAGGCAGGAGGCTTCTTCCCACGTAAAATATAAAGAATTAGGCAGATACTCAAATTAAATCCTCAAACTGTAGACGACTGACACCGAATTTTCCTATGATCCAATGGGTACCACACTCAATAAAATTTTTTGATCAAATAATTTCAATTCCATTGTATATGTACTGCAATGAGTGCATATATATATTAGTTAGATTTTTCAGGCTTTACGTATTAGTTTCGAAGAGGCTTTCAAATTAAAAATTTGAGGATATGATCCAAATTCCATTTTATCGAGACTTAATACTGAAACGGATAAATCCATTTGTATCACATTGAATTTTTAATAAATTAATAATAAGACTAAACTTAATTAAACAATAATGATATAGAATTATCTGAGTAGCATTTGTTTTTCTTCATTAGGTGGTTCGTGATCTACTACCATTTCTGGTGATCGTCCTCATATTTTGGTCAATGTATACCATCTTCTCTTCGGCCATCCTCATTCGTCCAAGCAGTGCTAACGACGCCCACGCTGCCATTTCTCGCCTATTTCGAATAATGCGAGCTGGCTTCTTTCAGATGTTTGGTGAATTCAATCTGGAAGAACTCCTAGAACACTATGGTTAGTGTGGCCATCTCTCATATCGGTCGGTAACCTCGCCTTTCATATTTGTGTCATACTTTTTCCGCCGACATTACCGGTCTCGTGTTTCTGTGCTTTTTTCCTTTTCTTTCTCTGGAAGAAGCAACGCTTTATTGGCTTCTTTTCTGTTCCAGGCAATAATTCTTGCGTTAATCTGACGACTTCGGGCTGTACGTATCCCTATTTTTCCGTCATGTTTCCTATTCTTCTCTCCCTCTTCACTCTCACAACCCACGTACTACTAATAAATCTACTGATAGCCATCTTTACGTAAGTTGCTTTTTAAAGTTCTTATCGCCTCAATAACACTCAATTTGGTGTTAATATGGTCAAATTGATTTTTATGAGTTGATTGTCACTTCATCAAGTTCTTAGAAAGCAGACATTTCGATGCAAAACTCCGAAATTATCTTACCAATGGTAAGAAAAGTAAGTAGAAACATTTCAATAAATAAACAAATTATAATCAGGTCTTGATTGGGAGAAAACTTAATTTTAATGAATGAAGTTTTATCATATTGTCATTAAAATGCTTTCTTGGGAAGAAAAAGGAAGATATTCAGTGTTTTCTCAAGCTCGAGATAAAAATATATAGATTTAAATTTTATTCCATTTTTAAGTAATATGTTATCGCGAGTTGATTAGTAACTTTAAGCAAATTGTTTCCCCTTCGTAATACTTCTAAATCCGAAATGTATGTTATATTTTATTGAATCTGTTCAAAATGATCGAATCACAATTAACAGGTATTCAATATATAAGTGTGATTTAAAGTTAACAACCACAGACAATTATACAAGAAGAGAATTGCAATAAGGAAGAAACAGAGTCAACTCCTATTCCACAATATTCCCCCCAACCCCCCCCNCCCCCCCCCCCCCCCCCCCCCCCCCACCTCCCACAATCCCCTACCCCTACTTTCCACCCGACTAAGGATAATCACGCAATTCTGCCACTAAGAGATATTGAAGCACCTTTAAGGCAAAACTCAGTGATGCAATTAGGCACTCTTGCATCTGTGTAATGGCTCGATAGGAGACTTACCTTACAGAGCAATCAGACAGCTAGCCCACCATCTTCATGAGTCTGTGCAAATAGTTAACGGCTTCATATTGCAAAATTGTATCGAGAATTTCTGTCTTAACAACAATTAGATTAAAGCAAAGAAGGTAAACAATGTGTTCCCACCTATTCTGTTCAGAATGGTTGTATTGTACATTGGAATACATGCCATTTTTCTTTCAATTTTTACTAATCTCTTCACATGTTGTCGTTACTGTCCATGGCATAGCAAGTGGATTGTGTAGTTCACTGAGCTCTTTACACTGCTGAATAACCTGCAAGATAACTCAGACTTCTCATCTAGTGAAGGAAAGAATAAATTCAAAGTTTTAAAATCGACATTTGTCCGATTCAATAAACATTGGCGGTTGTTGACAAGAGCTTGATGCAATACGGAGGACGCTTCGCTAACACAGGGTTGTGGAATAGAAACTTTTCTTCTAACAAAGTTTTTCTAGCCTAATTCAAAAGCCGGATGAAGCCAGACTCTTTGTTGTCTTGAAGTTGCTCTTGATTTAGCTTCGATCACCACCACTCCCCTCCCCCTCCTTATCATTTCTTGGTATTTTAGTCCCTTCGGACAATTATTGATTGGAACCGGTTTTGTTTGTTTTGTGGATATTACTAAAACGTTTTATTCACTGGCCAATATTTACACAGGAATTATCAAGATTTTTACTTCATCCGAACTTGGGTTCATTGAGATGTGAGTGGACAGTTCACCGTACCTTCAAAAATTGTTCAGCAGTTGACTTACTTAATTGCTTGTTCAAGATGTTTCAATAATTGAGCTAGATTTCAAATGGCACCTTGCACCCAACCTATATCTTCCATCCTGTAACTTCTGTTTCATTGGGTAGGAATATTTATTTATTTATTTATATCAAATGGCAGGCGTCTTGATGGTTATCATTAGCCATTTAGTTGACTTCAGGCTTCACAGAGGGGAGGGGGAACATCAAATTGACAAAAAAGTCGAGAGGGGGGGGGATGGAAGAGAAGAGTGTTTCAAAGATGTAAAAGAGACAGACACAGAGGAAGAAAAACAAGGTGAGGTAAGTACTGTGGAAATAGTCGAATATGGCATAGAGTGAGGTGATGGTAGTTTGAAATCAAAAGTCAACTACCGATCAATAGACAATTTTGACGTATAGGAGAAGTCAACTACCAGTTAATAGACTTTGCCGTATGAATATACGTTGCCCAGGGTGCACCACGTGGAGGTAAGTCTATTGAAAAACGAATGCCGAGTGATAGAATTTTTGCCGTAAGAAAGTACGTTGCCCAGGGTGCACCACGTGGAGGTAAGTCTATCGTAGTTAACTGCCAGTTAATAGACTTTTTGCCGTATGAATATAACGAAAGCCGAGTGATAGACTTTTTTGCCGTAAGAAAATACGCTGCCCAGGGTGCACCACGTGGAGGTAAGTCTATCGCACACAAACTTCCGGTTAATAGACTTTTTACCGTATGAGTATACGTTTCCCAGGGTGCACCACGTGGAGGTAAGTCTATCGCACACCCACCAGGGTGCACCACGTGGAGGTAAGTCTATCGCACACCCCTTGTCAGGGTGCACCACGTGGAGGTAAGTCTATCGCACACCCCAAATTGGGTAGGAATATATTCGAAGTAAAGTGTACTTTCTCCAAATTAACTTTAAATTTTGATCATGAAAATTGCTAATGTTATCGATGCAAACCACTAAGCATCATCCATCATATCATATTTATCTCAATTTTCTTAAGACCTCAAAAATGCTAAAGTATTCATTGATACTCAGTAGATCTCGAAATGTATCCCTGTGTAACTCAAAAGATAACATTGGTCATGAATGCGAAAGCAATTACAATTTTTAACTTGTAATTTTGTGGGACAAAAAATCAGTACGATTAATCCATAAAAAGGGCATAACAAAGTTTCGGTAAAAATTATATTTTGATGCAAATCCTTTGTGCTTAAATTCATAAAAGTTTGCAAGCATAACAAATTGCTCTAATCTCGAACATGCATTTGATCACATCTCATGAAATTGTGCAATTAAAAGCCTGTTAGACCACGCTTCTGCCAAGTTTATGTGAACTCAATAAAAAATAAAATATTGAAAAAAAAATTGGTGATCTGCGGGTGTGTACTATAATGAAGGGGGAACAAATAGAGATCAACCGAACTTCAAAGTAAATGTAAAGAATTGACAAGTGGAATGTGGAATGATCTCGGCGCACGTGAAGAGGAAAAATTTTGAAGAAAAAGATGCCCCGACAAGTCCTTTGAGGAACGTTGTTTAGACATTTCCCGAAGTCGATGGGAAATCAAACCAATTCACTTAGACCATTAAGATGATTCTAAAAATTTTAGTTACTTTAGTTATCTGGCATTACCGCAGTGTTCAACTTTAATATTTGGTATTTATTTCATTAACAAAAAAGACACGAGGAATTTGCAAAAATATTGAATAATTAATTGAGTTAATATGCAACGTACTCAATGCGCTTTAATCAAAGGTGAGGGAAATTGATATCTTTACTACAAAAATTGTATTAGCGTGAAAGTTGAGTAAATGAGTCAAGTATCCATTATTAGTTTATTGTTATTTGAAACTATTATTTTTTCGCAATATAATTTAGCCGTCCAATGCATTTAATGCACATGAAAATGCGTTTTAATTAGCGTAGTTTCAAATGCTTCGATATAATTGTCATTATAGCATAACCAATAGCAATACAGGAAAATTTAAAATTGCTATTTGCGAGAAATCACTTGAAGTGGTGTGGATGTATGTGGAATAGGGAATGCGGGTGGGGATTGAAAAAAGTGAGCCTCATTGGAAATACTTCATTCGAACTTAAGATTCGAGTTTTAAGGAATTTGGTTACCAATTAGTTCACAGCTTTACGTTGCAAAATAAAATTCTAGCATTTGATATCAGGGTTATTGATCACATTTTCATCCACAGTCTCTGGTGTCGATTTTCTTGTCGAGCACTTGTGATGGTCGGTCTTGGCCCTCCTGGCTAGCTGGTCAATTGTTTAGTTTCGATGTCTTTTTATTTCACTTCAACAAGCAAGTCTTATCTTTAATTGTCATGATATTAGCGAAATACTATTAGCTTATTATTGTGGACCACGTACTTCTAATTCTAACAGCAGAAAGGAAGTCGTGGAAGAGACCACTTTACGTTAAGTTCTAGTTATGAGATACCAGTAACACGACAAGGGAAACATACCAAAAAGTGGAATCGAAAACCGGAAACTTACCGGAACCGGAAAATATCAGGACCATTTGGCTTGGGCCATGAAATTTATTTATTTATATCAAATGTCAGGCGTCTTGATGGTTATCATTAGCCCTTTAGTTGCCTTCAGGCTTCACAGAGGGGATGGAACATCAACTTGAAAAAAATCGAGAGGGGGGGGGGGAGAAGAGTGCTTCAAAGATGTAAGAGACGAACACAAAGGTAGAACAAGGGTGAGGTGAGTACTGTGGAAATAGTCGAATATGGCATAGAGTGAGGTGATGGTAGTTTGAAGTGAGAAGCCAACTGCCAGTTAATAGACTTTTTTGCCGTATGAATATACGTTGCCCAGGGTGCACCACGTGGA